TCTGGAGCGGAGCCCCTCTCCGAACCAGCCCCAGCCTCGGTTACTTATTGCTTTTAACGTGCTAGTCTAGTAGAGAGTGAATTAAAACCAAAAATGCATGTCTGTTGCAGTGCGTTTGTGCTGTCTTCGGGCTGTGCTGGGAACCCTGGCCGTCAAACCTGGAGAGGGATGGAAGAGAGGGGTGGATGAAGTCAGGCTGCACTGGGAGCGGAGACATCCCAGGGACAACGGCGCTCCGGGATAGACCCTGTCTTTGCCGACAGGCCACAAAGCAAAAGCCTTTGGTGTCTGCTGCCAGAGCTAAGAGGGTGCTGATGGTCGCTTGGGGCTGGCAGAGCGGAGGAGCTGGCACCCAGCAGGTTGCTCCCGAGCACCGATGCAAGGGCAGGGAGTCACAGCCAGCCCGGAGAGATGCCGTGGTGCACCTGCCTTCCCCGCTTGCCTCGGGGAGGACAGCCTCAGCCAGCCCAGGGAGCCGGAGGCAGGAGGGGATCTCCGAGGGGAGGCACCAACCTGAAGGTTACTTGAACGTGTGGCTCTCGGCTCCTCCCCGGCCGAACCCTGGAAGAGAGATGGAGCGGGGTCAGCATCGCCGCGGGACGGCAAGCGCACCGAGGGATGCGCCTCGCCGAGAGATGGGAGCCCTGAGCCCCTTCCCCTCCCTCCCACAACCCCAGCCACAGCAACCCTACCTTTGGGCCCAAACAAGGCGGCGTAGCAGGGGTGGTTGCAGTACGGCTTGCCGTCGTGCTGCGGGGAGAGAGAAAGAGCATCAGCCCAGACTGCCCTTCAGCTCCATCTCTGCCCATCCCACCCCTCCTGCAGCCCCTGGCTGCAGGGGACGGGGACCTCCTGGGCTGCAAACCTCACCTCTGCATGGCCTCCAGATGTCAGGGTCTTGTTACACTTCTCGCATCTCAAGCAGGGCCGGTGCCAGTCCTTCCCCAGAGAAGTCACCTTCTCGGCTGCCACAGAAAGGAGATGGGTTAGTTGAGGCACTGAACAAGCACAACAAGTTGGTTTTGGCAGGTTGGCCTCCCTGTCATCAACCCTAGGGAAGACATTTTGGGGCATTTTCTCAAGTCTTTTTGTCCAGGACAGAAGGCACCATGTTTCAAACCCAAGTGCTCGCCATGCACACACATCGCTGTGCACATCCAGGCACGCAGATCCGAAACGGCAGTGCCACACCCAGGGTGGACATCGCTGCATCTGTGCAGATGAACTGACTTCTCTCTGGCTTCCAAAAATTTGAGGACCTCCCATTTTCCAACATCAGCCTGCAAGGGGACGAATTTTTCCCCAGCCAGCTGGAGCCCAAGCGATCACTAGAGCTGGCAGGAGCGAAGCTGGTGAGGACCAGGGAGGCAAAGCCATCGCCACGGCATGCCAACACAACCCAGTCCCCTCCAGCCACCAGCACTCTTGCCGCAGCTCCGATTCTGCACCCAGCATCACAAACCAGAGCGGGGCTGGCGCTTGGCTGGGGTTCAGGCAGCTGCCGAGGGGGGACACAACATGCTGTTTGCTGGAGCCAGGATGTGTTTACAGAGCGGGGGGGGAACACGGGGTGACTTTTAATTGCAGCATGGCGGGGGAGGAGGGTATTTTCTGCAGACACATGTGCTCTTCATATTGGCAGCTGCACCCCTGGGCATTTATTAAGTGATAAAGCAGAGCTTTCCACAGGAACCTCGTCAGAGCCAGGTCTAAGCACTCTTCCCCACGCCTGCAAAACGAGGTCGAGCAATGGGACAGAGCCGCTGCTGGCAGCGTGTGCCCCAGGGGGGCTCCGGGCAGCCCGAAGCACCCCATCTTTGGAGTCCAAATATGCCCACAACAGCTTACGCAAGGAGCAAGCCGGCGGCTGCAGAGGTGGGAGCGGGGGCAGTGCCCAAATGTCACAAGGCAGCCCTGCTGCCATCCCCCAGCAGCACAAAGAGCCTCCTGTGCCCGCAGCCCGGCGGGGGCCGCAGTGTCCTCGCCCCAGGAGCCCGAGCCCAGCCCGTAGCGAGGCCCTCCCATCACAAGGTTTCTGGAAGGAGCTCAGCCTCCCCACCTCTCGCACAAGCAATTGCACCAACACTTGGGCAGGAGCCCTACCAAGGCTCGCTGCAGCAGGGTTCCCCCCAGCTCTCAGCCACGCAGGCAAGATTCCCCTGAAAAGCTGGTGGTGGCCCTGCAAACCCCATCCCCAGTCCTCTTGGCATCACCTCCTCCTCAGCCCCGCTCTCTACAGACACGACTTGGCCAAAAGCAGCCCGAGGCACACCCGAGCGGGACCACCAGGCTCTGAGAGCCCCTGGTTGCCCTGGAGCAGGGCTTTCTCTGCATCCTCTGCCAGTGCTCCTCATCTACAGGCATAGAAATCAGGCAGCAAGCTTGGTCCTCCAGCAGCTTTTGAACCCTCCTCAGTCTCTGCATCAACAGAGACATTTTGTAAGAGCAGCCGATAAGCACAGGGCCAACCCCCTTGGTCAAACAGCCCCATCCCTCTGTCTCCGCAGCCGCACCTGCGGTCACGGCAAACCCAGCTCACTCCGACTGGGAATGAAGCAGATCCACAGGGAAAGGCAGACACTGGCACCAGCACCTTGGTAGCTCCTGATACCAAGCCACATGGGTAAATGAGTTGCCCCAGGACCCTCGGTCACAGGAGGGAGTCACGAACTGTATTTTGCCAAAAGCCCACCTCAAAGCCTGGCTGCAAGCGGCGAGTTCAAGTTTAGGCAAAGCAATGCTCCCCAACCGCAGGAGCCACATCCCCAGCAGCCCCCCGGGCAGTGCCCACGCCAGACCCAGCACACACACACACCCAGGGTGGGCATCGCTACAGGCACAGAGAGCAGCCCCTGTGTTTGAGCCTCCAAATTCGTTGGTAGAGCACAAGTAGAAGTTGGGACACACAGACAAGCAGAGCAGAAATAAGGCAGATTGAGCAGAAGTCAGTGCTGACACTCGGATCCCAGATCCCTCATCTCTAGTAAATCAAAAAGCCGGGAGTGCCTGTAAGCTGCTCCCAGCAAACCCCCTCAAGTTCAGCTACATCAGGGAAGCGGGGAGGTCTGGTAGCTGGAGCCTGCCTGTTCCAGCAGCTACTCCAGGCAGGGTGAGAGGCTCAAGCCCCCCAGATACACTCACACAAGTCAGCAGGACCACGGCACCAAAAGGGGCAGGAGCCTGGAGCTTCGGGAGCCCAGTTTGGAGGGAGGACGTGTGCCTGAAGCCCAGCGGCAGCAGCCCAAAAAGGCTCATGACTAGCTTGCAACGGTGGCTTAAAAATAACACCCCAGAGCTGTCATCTCGCCGTGCAGAACCATGCAGGACAACATGTGGGCAAGCCACTGACCCAGGAACGTGCCCAAGGGCAGGATCTGCCCTGGGGAAGGTGCTTGCTCGCCTGCCCAGGCTTTCAGAGCGGCGGGCTGCACCCACTGGGCCTTTGGGCTCCAAACTGGCAGGGGGCTGCGGGCGATGCTGGGAAGGAAACAGGGCTGAGCTCCTGTGCGGTGTCGCGGCCCCGTTTGCAGGCTGGGGGTACCCACCGCAGCCCACACCCTGCAGCGAGGCACCTCCTTGGGTGGATCTGGGGGGCACCCCAAGC